AAAAATCAAATCAATAGTAAAACAATACACCTTTTACGCAGAAAATAAATACAATTCAATTCCAAAATATCCAAGACAAAATATCATTCAAAGACTTAAACAGAAACAAGAATATGATTTAAGTCTTCACAATAAAAATAGAAATCCATTTAAAACCTATAACACTGGACAAACCATTGACCTAGAAATTAACAAAAGATATGACAATAAATTGTTTTCAAATATAAACAAGACATGGTTAAAATAGTTCACAAAAGCCAAGTAAAAACATAAAAAATATATACAAAATTATGATCAAAGTTATATGTATAATAATGTTTTAGGAAATTATAATCCGCATGTTATTATAAATTAATTTATGAATAAATAATAGAATAAATGTATTAATTAATATATCAAATAAATTAACAAACATAATTGGAAAAATTAAAATATTCCACACAAATAAAATAAGTCCTATCGGCTTTAAATATAGATTTTAAATTAGAAATTCTAAAACGATAATTAATTAATACGGCCAATATAGTAAATTCATTCAAAATAAAGTAAACTGATTGTAAGTTATATAAAAACATACAAATTTACGACTCTATAGAGTTTGGTTGACGTAGCTATAGTAGTTTCCGAGATATGTACAAAAAACTTAGTAGGGGGCGGGACCACGCCCACTTTTCGAAAAAAAACTGCGTCCAAATATGTTCCTCTCTAATTCGATTCTTTGTGCCATTTCACTTTAACATCTTTATTTATGGCTTAGTTATGACACTTTATAGGTTTTCGGTTTTCGCCATTTTGTGGGCGTGGCAGTGGGCCAATTTGGCCCATCTTCGAACTTAACCTTCTTATGGAGCCAGGTACCAAGTGTCATCATTATATCTCAATTTTTACTCAAGTTACAGCTTGCACGGACGGACAGACGGACATACAGACATCTGGTATATATCACCCTATATCTGACTCTTTTAGTTTTAGGACTTACAAACAACCGTTATGTGAACAAAACTATAATATCCTCCTTAGCAACTTTGTTGCGAGAGTATAAAAATATCTTAAATAAGAAGACTTATTGTTATTAAAGCCCCTAAAGTTGTTTCAAAAAAACGTGTATTTGAATTTAAACTGACTGTCTTCTCAAATCACTGCTTAACGTAAAAATAGTATTTTCTCCATCTTTTTTCACCTCTTTTATGCATGTGATTAGCTAAAGTGTGGTTTAACCATTGCTCTATATCCAATTTAAACGTCTGCTTAAGGACTCGCTAATTTAGGAAAAAAAAGTGTCGCGACATTGTAAGCTTCATTGGTTAGGAATTTCGACTTGTCTTCAATATTTGTTTTAAATTCCCACAATGAAATTTTTTTAACCTTGTTGTTCAGTTACTTCTTCTCTTTGTGGTAGATGATTTCTTTGATCTGCTTCTCCGGAAATAGTGCTCTTTTGGGATCCTTGATACTCTCCATTTTAGCCCTCAATCTTATCTGTGCTGTTGCTAGAAGTATTACTGTTTCCGAGTATTTCGTCATCAGTGTGGAGGACTTTTTCGCAAAATTTTTATATGTATATATTCGCGATTAAGGCTTCCAAAAATATATGTCCAGGTACCTGCAGTATACACAATTGTTTTATGTAGCGGTATAAAAAGTAGGTGTTCGATGTCGCTGCTTTTGATTGTTCCTGTTAGGTGTTTAATCCACCAGCAACGTCAAAAGCAGCTTTAGATGGCTCGAACTGATTAGGTTTTTGGTATAGATATAATCAGCCACTTGCTGCTTACTGTTGAAAGATCTTCGCCATGCATTCTTGAATTCTGAATGGATTTTTCTATTTTTTGAATTACATGTATGTAGCAATTTTTAGCAATGTATTCATCTGTTTCTTGACTTTTTCGGTCATAATTTTGTTATGATTTGCTTTAAATTCTGTTAATGTATGTTCAATATATTACAGCCTTTCCAATTTTTCTGCTGAGAATTTCCAACTCCTCCAAAGGTGGGGGCAGCTCTCATAGTTGCGCTCATAGAAGGAATTTCTGGTCAAGAGTTTAAAATGTTTCCTTAATTCTTCATTTTAATGACATTAAAATGGAATTTAATATTAAGTAAAATATATCCCGCTTTTTTATTTCATTATATTATATAATTACAGGTTTCATATAGTCTAATGAAGATATAAGTTATAACGGACCGAAAACACAGTACAGAGAATTGTAATTGCGTAAACCCATATTTGTATGTAACCCAAGAACAATTATTTTTAAACAAGTGTAAAAATTTATTATTTTACGATGCTTTAAGAGAGTTTGTGACCCTAAATATATTTGTAGGTTTTAAAACTTTAGTAATGGATTTTCTAGCCTTTAGTCCTGAACGTTACGGCACAAGTGACTAGAGCATAATTAAATTAATAACTATTGTGAACTCATAACCAAACCCTTGTGAGTATTTGTTTAATGCAAGCAAGCAGCTCTTTCTCTCAGAACTGTAAGTGAGCAGTATTCACACTTGTATTTTTTCCATTAATAATTTGCTTTCTTCATATATAATTTTTCGCAAGTATCTCAACGTTGGGTTTAACTCATTCACTGCTGATCACTGTCAATTTATTTATCTATTTTGACTAAAAGTTTGTCTTCTGCAATACTTACCTTTAAAGCAGTGATTATCCCTTTTTATACTCTTGCAACAAAGTTCCTAAAGAGAGTATTCAAGTTTGGTTCACATAATGGCTGTTTGTAAGCCCTAAAACTAAAAGAGTCAGATATAGCGTTATATATATCAGATGTCTGTATGTCCGTCTGTCCGTCCGTCCGTTCAAGCTGTAACTTGAGTAAAAATTGAGATATAATGATGAAACTTGGTACCTGGCTCCATAAGAAGGTTAAGTTCGAAGATTGGCCAAATTGGCCCACTGCCACGCCCACAAAATGGCGAAAACCGAAAACCTATAAAGTGTCATAACTAAGCCATAAATAAAGATGTTAAAGTGAAATTTGGCACAAAAGATCGACTTAGGGAGGGGCATATTTGGACGTAATTKTTTTGGAAAAGTGGGCGTGACCCCGCCCCCTACTAAGTTTTTTGTATATATCTCGGAAACTACTACAGCTATGTCAACCACACTCTATACAGTCAATTCCTTCAGGCATTTCCCTATACAGTTCAAAAACGGAAGAATCGGATAATAACCACACCCACCTCCAATACAAAGGTTATGTTGAAAATCACTATAAGTGCGTTAGCCGACTCACAAAAAACGTCAGAAGCACTAAATTTTACGGAAGAAATGGTAGCAGGAAGCTGCGCGCAGGCGTTTTTTAAAAATTGAAAATGGGCGTGGCGTCGCCCACTTATGGACCAAAAACCATATCTCAGGAACTACTCGTCCGATTTCAATGAATTTCGGTATATAATTATTCTTAACACCCTGATGACATGTACGAAATATGGGTGAAATCGGTTCACAAGCATGCCTTCTTCCAATATAACGCTATTTTGAATTCCATCTGATGCCTTCTCTGTATAATATATACATTAGGAACCAATGATATTAGCGGAATAAAGCTTTACAGAAATACAGTGTTTGATGCGAGAGTATAAAATGTTCGGTGACACTCGAACTTAGCCCTTCCTTACTTGTTCTTGAAGTAATCTTCCTATCCAATGCCATCTCCTATTAGCTTTTCGTGATTGCTTCACGATTCGTCGAATTATTTTAGTATCACTAAGGTATATGATCTCGTATTAAAGATGATTAAAAATTAATTAGCCGAGTCATACTTTTCCCACAAACCTTATTAATATAATGTAATTATTTAATTTTTAGGTTTATATAGGAATGGGTTAATGAATTAGATATAAAATTAGCTGAGATATTACGATTAATTTAATGTCAAAAATAGATGAAAACTCTCCATTTTTACTATTCTCTTATTTTATCTGTTATGTCATGCTTTTGGTTGACTTTATACCACATATTATGTCTATGAGTACAAAACATTTCACTAAAATAACGAAAGAATATTTCAATTAGCAACTGAACTGAAAACTGACCTCATCTACGGGCACGATACAGGTCACAAGTCGTTGTCGATTCAATCTAAAAGGCATAAAAAAAATTCGTTACAGAAACAAAATGGCGGCTACTTGAAATAACGTATCGGTTTTTTCGCACTTTGACCTGTTGTAAAAAATCGTTCATGCTCTAAATATTGCAATTTTGTAGGTTACAGCGCCCGAGAATTTTGTTTTCTTGTAATTGGGCAAAACTCGAAGATAATCGGTTGAATGGTTCAAAAACGAAAATGGCCGCAGATTCGAAAAATCATGTTTCGAGGAAACACGTGTCACGGTTCGATGTCCATATGTCAATGCTCAGGACATAGGTCCGTTCAACGTCGTGTTGCGACGGAACTATTTCACGGATCGAAAAAACATTTTACCAACATATTCTAGACAATTTAAGCATTGGATTTACACAATAAAAAATCGATTCTTTTAAAAAATTTCTAAAGAGTATGTTAAATCACAACGCGAAGGTTTCGGTTATAAAATAATATCCAGCTCTGGTTGCTCAGAGCTCCTTTTTTTTAGACTTTCTGAATTAGGAAATTCATGTATGCACCACATACAGAGTATATACGCATATCTTAATATCAACCTACTGTACATACCGACAGTATGTACACATATCTTAAATATTAGTGTTCCTAACTATTTCTTATCTATTATTTTAGGATCATCTGCGATCATTTACATTGCATACATTAAATACTACAGTCTCTAATCAATATACCCGAAATGAGCATTTATTAGAGTGATGATTAAAATGGGTATTTGTAGTATTTATATTTAAGATTGTATTTGTATGTGTTAGCGATAATGCACATAAATATTTGTAATATGATATCTGTTTCTATACAGATTTACAAACATATATTATTTACAAATGTAGCCGTCAGGAACTGTTCAGAAATCTGAACAAGTTATTTGTTTTCCTGCAGATCTCCTTCAGCATAATACCACAAAGGGGCCTTTTCGAAAGCTTGGACGACTTTTTAGCAGTTGCATGCGGCAAAAAACGAATTCTTCAACTATAAAAGTCGTTCTAGAACAGCTTGGTGGTTATCTCCCCACAGGAACGGTTGGTCCTACTTCAATATCATCTTTGATTAAAAAAATGTTGAAATTGGGTCCAACGCCTCTTATTGATATATATTACGATTTAAGCTACGGCCGCCGTCCTCAAGTGTTGTTAATAATAGGCAGACCTGGAACTTCACCGCCAATATTAGAGGTAAATAAAACCAAAATTCCATACATTAAATCACATACTAATTTAATATATAATATGTTCAGAACAGCATACGCTATTCCGGTCCAAAAGCACCACCGAATCAGTTTAAAAATGGAAAATATAAACTGCTAAAGAAACTACTAGATGACTTTTTACCAAACGAGCTTTCTTCTGATCAAAAGTCTTCAGAGAAAGAGACGATTTCCACATTTATCGACCAACTAAACCAAGTGAGTTTCCGTAATTTGTATTCAACAATGTAATAATTTATTCTATCTAATAGGCAGAGTGGACGTTCAAAGCCGAGCCGATCTCGAATCTATTTTCGATCTGCATTGATCAAATTTAGTATACTACTATACTATTTTGTTCTGTTTCTTGTTCGTAACAGTTTCTTGTAACCGCAAAGTATTTATGTAGTTCGACTACATTTTATTTAAAACAAGAAATATAAATAATTAAAGAATGCTTTGTGCGAAAAAAATTGTGTGTAAAATAAATATGGGTATTTAATTATTCCCGCTAAATTAGAAAATTTCCGTTATAAATTTGGCCTTTATTGAAGGCGGGTATTTAATAAATTCTGTAGAATTGGGGAATTCCTATTTTCCTTTAAAAATACTGATAACGCTACCATAAGCAATCTATGAGACCAATATATAATGAGAAGCAACTATGCAACACGACCGTCGGCGACAAAAAAACGCTTCAAAACTGGTTTCTCGTATTTATCAGCTTCAGCGTCAGCTTCGGATAAGTCCTCGTCAGTTTTGTGCTCGGCTCGGCTTTGAGCATCCGTTCTGCAGTCACCCAAGGGGATATTTATAGCTTAAACTACTAGAAATAGTTAGATAAATTTAGATAAATTTATAGTATACATATATATATATATATATATACATCTTGTTTCGAGGAAACACGTGTGAAAGTTCGATGTCGATATGTCAATGCTCAGGACACAGGTCCCTTTAACGTCTGTTGCAACGGAACTGTTTCACGGATCGAAAAAACATTTTACCAACATGTTCTAGACAATTTAAGCATTCGATTTATACAATAAAAAAAATCGATTTTTTAAAGAAAAAAATGATTTTTTACAAGAGTATATTATATCACAACGCGAAGGTTATATACATATATATATCCACCTCATTTGCTCCTCATATATTCCCAAAAGTGACAATTTTGTAATCGTACGCTGGCAACATGTTACTCTGCGTTTGATAGTTTTACATTATCATTAAATAATACAGCTATCAAAACAATATACATATGTATATAGTTAATGTGCAAATGAGCTGCTTTTTAAATATTTTTTATGTTTGATAGTATAATATACTTTCTTATATATACGTATGTATATATGCTATATATGTATATGACATACTACCATAATATCCTAAAAAACTGAACACATATATAATATTACAATAATAATATAACTAAATTATACCTTTTACCATTTARAACTTCCATACATCTATTGACTGACAAAAAATCAACAAAACAATCGTCCCTCAAGCCAAGGAATTTTCGTTTTTTCATTCAAACTAAAATTTCCCCATTAAATTTTCCTTTCTCAAAAACAACCATCAAACCTTAAAAATTCCGGCGGTAAAATCGTGATCGGTCGTCACTGTGAACATACTATCTTATTCCATATTAATGTCGTGTGTTTGGGGCCATAGAGTTGATTGTGCTCAGCAAAAGATCAGCTACCATAAATGTAATCAATTCTTCCACTTGATGTGTATGAATTTATCACAGGCTGATGTGGATTTTTTGCTGAAATCCAAAAATGCTTTTTATTGTAAAGTGCGCGCGGTAGCTCGGATAAATTCTATTCGTTCGCCGCCTACATCGCTATCAGTGCGTAATGCTCAGTGTTCTGATATCTTAAATTCGCAACAACAAAATGCTGAACAATTTTTTGCTTAATTCTCTGGTTTTGGAAGTAAGTCCACTGAAAAGGGAACAATCCAAAGTGCTCACATTAATACAACAACTATGTCATGATAGAAATTCGTTAATCGTTAAGCTTAACGATTGCTGCTAAACCAGATCGCCCCTCTGTCACTGTCAATGCTGCTCAATCAGCTGCCGTTGTTGATTCTGTTAATCTGAACTCTTCTACTTCAATTACTGTCAATGGAAATTTGAAGTTAAAAGTGAGCGCTAGGAACAAAAAATCTCCAGCTACTTCAACTGTGGTTGGTGTTAATGCCAATTGTGATCTCGATGTCGTCATACCTAAGAAATGAATTCTCTTGTCTGCGTTTAAGAACTCAGTCACTAAAGAAGATATTATATCTTTTGTTGTTAAACATGCTAATGTTGGTAAAGAGAATCTTTATGTTATAAATTAATTAAAAAAGATACTGATATTAATAATTTTAAGAGTATAAACTTTAGCATTTCTCCTCTTCAGTGTGGCCTTCTGGCATTAAGTTGCGTCCCTTTAAGTTTTTTCCAAAAGGAASGGAAACAGTGATGTGGATTAGATTATGCGCCTGTTAATGACAATTTTAYTCGTGAGTTTTCTGCACCTTCCTCAACTGKCTCTTGTCTTAAGGTGTACTACCAAAATKTATGGGCTATTAGGTGTAAATCAAATATTACTCGCAACTTTTCTTCACATTTGGACTTCGATATTATCGTTATTGCTGAGACTTGGCTGAATGCTAGTTACTTTGATCGTGGAAATGTTTAAGAGGGGGTGCTGTTCTCCTAGCAGTTCATCACAAATATCGTCCTTGTTTATCTATGCTTGATAATGATGATTTTATTCTCGACCAACTATGTATTTGTATCAATGACGCTCTGTTCATTGCAGTCTCATACATCCCTCCTAATAGTCGTCTACAGTTGTATAAGTGCAGTAAATAATATTTCCTCGCTGGTATTAAATAATGTAAAAGAGAAAAATATCGGTGTTCTGGGTGACTTTAATTTAAGCAATATCGTCTGGTCTGGTTGTTCCTATAGTCCTGCTCTTATTCCTTCCAATGATTAGTCTTCTCAGGAGTTATTTCTCATCGATAGCTTGCTTAATCTCAATCTGATTCAAATCAACTCATATTCAAATAGTCTGGATCGATTTCTAGACTTAGTCTTTCTCAGCGATAATTTAAAATTTAGGTTTCTCGATGTATTCTCTTCAATTACTACAGCCACCATTCATCATTCTCCGCTAGCATTTGACTTTATCTTTTCGCTCCAGTTAAACCAATTGATGGGTCTGGTTTCAATTTTGCATTTTGTGATTTTGAAGGACTCGACAGTCTGCTCTGTAAGATTAAATGGGATGATTTACTTTCGGGACTAGATACACCTAATAGTTTCTCCATTTTTAAGAAATTAATTCAGGAATTTTGTCATTATAATAACCCGGTCAAATATATACATACAAGTTGCGTTGGTACACTAGGGACCTCAAACGTTTGAAAAATCTTATAAATATATACTACAGAAAATTCTATTCAACTAAATCTCATGTTTCCTTTGTTCAATATCAGCACTACACAAAACTGTTTAATGAATTGGATAAGTTTCTCTATAAAAGGTTTATTAATAGTACGGAGTCTACAATTAAGTCGAACTCTAAGTGCTTTTTGGAACTTTGTAAAATCTAGAAAAGCGTGTTCGGCCATTCCCTCTTTTTTACACTGGGGTGATAAGTCAGCATGCACTCCTGGCGAAATCTCCAACTTGTTTGCTGAATTTTTCAAATCGAATTATGCTCACGATGATTGTGGTAGTAGTCCCACTTTTTCAGATAATAATTTCCTATCCATAAATTCTGGCACACTGTGTCTTTCACAGGATGATATTACCAAGGCTATATTTGATATTAAGTCTTCCTCCAAATTGGATTTGGATGGGCTTCCACCTATACTTCTAAAAATTTTTACTGTCTTGGTATATCCTCTCAGGCTCATCTTCAATAAATGTCTCTCCCCTGGGAATTTTATTTATTAATTTTTTATTTCTCTTAAAGGTGGTAGAAAGGATGTAGTCTCCAATTACAGACCTATTTCTAAACTTTCTACTGTTTCGAAAATTTTCGAGTATTCTGTTAAAAATAAATTATATTTTGCAGTAATATCAATAATTCATGTAAATCAGCATGGGTTTGTCTCTGGGCGCTCCACTGTTTCAAACTTAGTGGTTTTTAGCGATTATTGTATGCCTGCACTCTCCGCTGGATTTCAGGTAGATTGTGTCTACACAAATTTCTCTAAAACCTATGATAAAGTTTTACATAATATTCTAATTAAAAAATTATAATCTTTAGGGTTTCACTCGGTCTTCTTTCAGTGGATTAAATCATATCTGCATAATAGACGATGAGTTGCCAGTGTTGATGGAGTGTCATCTGATTCATTCATTGTATCTTCTGGAGTGTCACAAGAAAGCGTCTTGTGTCCACTTCTTTTTGTGCTGTTTATCAATGACATTTCCTGTTGCTTCCCTTTTGCTAACTTTCTATTATATGCAGATGACTTAAAAATTTGTGTAATAATCAAAAACTCTCAAGATGTATTCAAACTTCAATGTGATATTGATGCTTGTTATGATTGGTGCCTGAAATCGAAGCTTTTTCTGAATCTAGACAAATGCTGTCAGATCTCTTATGGTAGGGGACGTTGCATCTTATCTACAAGTTACAATATTTCTAATTGAGTCCCAAAATGTGTTACTGAAATCAAGGATCTTGGGGTAATCTTTGACAACTCTTCTAAACTACTTCTAAATCATTCTCTGTGCTCGGCTTTGTCCGTCGAAATGCTTTAAATTTTTCTGACCCCTACACGTTAAAATTACTGTATACATGTTTTGTTCGGGGGATTTTTGAGTACGCAGTGTTCATTTGGAGACCATATTGAATATCGTCAATTAGTAGGATCGAGCGAGTTCAAAAGAGTTTTCTTAAATTTGCTCTCCGCTCCCTAAAGATTGTTGACCCAATATCATCGTACACATCTCGTTTTTTGCTTTTGCATCTTAAATTACTGGATAATTGACGGCCCATTCTCTGCCTTTCATTTGTTTTCAATGTAATTAATGGAAGTATTGACTGTCCCTATTTATTAGGGAAAATTAACTTCAATACTCCTCAGAGTTGTCTCAGATCTATTTCCGCATTTTATTATAAAAAAGAAAGTACTAATTTTGCTGAATATGCTCCTCTGAAGCGWGTTATGCGTGAGTTTAACTCGATTTCCAAGAA